GGTTGGTGGGGGTTTTAGTTGAAACAAATGCGTGGGATAAAAGGAACGATTGACCTATTCCCAGTTTCCATTCTCCACAAACACGACCGAAAGGATCCTGAAAAGAGTCTTTGAAAAAAATCTCATTGAAGATCATACAGATTTGAATCGTTCTCAAACATATGTAAAAGTGATGCTGATGATGGTATGAAAGATAGATTATAGCCTAGACCTTTTCACTTGAACCAAATGTCCAAGTTGATGATAATTCCAGTTTGTAATGCCAAGGTGACATAAGCATGATCGAATACAGTAAACCCCTGTTAACCAGGAACCCCGCTATACGGGACATAAAAATGTTGGGAACATCTGTATTTGAGTAAAGGGATATTACGCCCCAATGGTTCTTTAAGGTCACATGAAATTAATTTTGCTTCTTAGATATAAAATCTGGAGGCGTTATATTATATTGACGTGTTTTTTTAAACAAACTGTTCAACGCATCGGTAATATTAACTGTTAAAAGGCGTGACTCACATGAAACATGATTATTTTGTAGGACTACGTGCGTGGTCTATTTTAGGATGTACAGAAAAAAGATAACACACGTAGCGGGGGTGGGTGAGGGCGAAGGTGTGGTGGGGGAATATTACTCACATATTCATGTTTTTCTCCCTGAAATGAGTCCCCTGGTAAAACAATTTTCTCATCCCATCTAGCATACATCCCCCACAATATCAAACGGCACCGCAAATACGTGTTCATGTTGCCTGTTGCATGTTGGGAAGCAGCAATGGGTATCCCGTTTTTGTCGACACCCGTTAAGGATTCTTAGGACACATCGTGCGCGGGAGATGCTGAACGTCCTGAATAATAGTGTTAAGATAATGATGTGCTTTTAGAAGAGAACTTTTGTCGCTTTTATTTCGATCAAAATTGAATGTCTTCAAACTCCCTCATCCCCCAGACAATCACACTGCAATGAGTGGATGTATTTGTACTGGCGCTGAGATATACCACGGCGGTGTAGCTATAAGCCACAGTACTGTTACTGAGATATACCACGGCGGTGTAGCAATAAGCCACAGTACTGTTACTGAGATATATCACGGCGGTGTAGTTATAAGCCACAGTACTGTTACTGAGATATACCACGGCGGTGTAGCTATAAGCCACAGTACTGTTCCTGAGATATACCACGGCGGTGTAGCTATAACCCACAGCACTGTTACTGAGATATATCACGGTGGTGTAGTTATAAGTCACAGTACTGTTACTGAGATATATCACGGTGGTGTAGTTATAAGTCACAGTACTGTTACTGACATATATCACGGAGGTGTAGTTATAAGCCACAGTACTGTTACTGAGATATATCAAGGCGGTGTAGTTATAAGCCACAGTACTGATACTGAGATATATCACGGAGGTGTAGTTATAAGCCACAGTACTGTTACTGAGATATACCACGGCGGTGTAGCTATAAGCCACAGTACTGTTACTGAGATATATCACGGTAGTGTAGTTATAAGCCACAGTACTGATACTGAGATATATCACGGAGGTGAAGTTATACGCCACAGTACTGTTACTGAGATATATCACGGTGGTGTAGTTATAAGCCACAGTACTGTTACTGGGGTATATCACAAAGGTGTAGCTATAAGCCACAATATTGTTACTGAGATATATCACGGCGGTGTAGTTATAAGCCACAGTTCTGTTTCTGAGATATATCACGGCGGTGTAGTTATAAGCCACAATACTGTTACTGAGATATATCACGGAGGTGTAGTTATAAGCCACAGTACTGTTTTTGAGATATATCACGAAGGTGTAGTTATTAGCCATAGTACTGATACTGAGATATATCACGAAGGTGTAGTTATTAGCCATAGTACTGATACTGAGATATATCACGAAGGTGTAGTTATTAGCCATAGTACTGATACTGAGATATATCACGAAGGTGTAGTTATAAGCCACAGTGCTGTTACTGAGATATATCACGGCGGCGTTACATTGTCCGTATTAAAGAGGGTGCGATGATACACGATATGTTTCACTGAATAAGGGCCGCTTCCTTAGTTTAGTGGTAGAGCGTCTACCCGGAGAACGGAAAGTCGAGGATTCGATCCCGGCCGCGTCATACCAAACTACGTTAAAATATGGTACTTGTTGTTACCCTACCTGGCGCTTGGCACTTAGAGGCTTAAACAAGGACTGGTCGGCTCGGAGACAGTACACTGTGTCTGAGTGGGGTATTCATGATAAGCTGTGGCAAGATATCTCAATCTGGAACGCCTAAAGGGCCAACTCGAGATTCAAATCCATAGGGGCAAATAATGCAGCAAAATCAATGATAAAATGAAAAATTTAAAACGTTTGTCTTTTTATTAATGGCTGACGCACCTGACACCTCATCTTCAAATATTATATCAGGAATATATACTACCCAAAAGAAGTTAGAGAACACCTGATTTTTTATGACAGATTAACTACAGTAAACTACGGTTATAACGAACTCAAAAGGACCATTAATTATAGTTCGTAATAACCGTAGTTCGTTATAAACACATGTACAGCATATATACAACAAATGGCTGGGACTAAAAACTAAGTTCGTTATATTGGTCAGTTCGTTATAAGCGTGTTCGTTATAAAAACATCGGGTGTCATGACATATTAACTATTAAATCGTGTGTTCTGTAACTTTTGTGACACGAAAGAATAAGTATAATCATATGAAAAAATCGGTGTTTTTTAACTTCTTTTGAGTATTATATATTTATAATTAACTTGAGACAAACGTAATTTTCTTTTAAAGGCGTGCTTGCATATCAAAGTTTTGTTTGAGAGGGTCCGATAAGCAGTATGGGTACGGTGTGTGAAACCGATTACTTGTCTCCCCCGCCGTGATATTGCTCGATCACTGCTAAATGCGACTTAAAACCTAACTTTCATAATAAAACTGCGATGTTGTTTGTCCCCGGAATGTGAAAACATCCACGACGTTCATTGTGTCATATGTTTCCAGTCTATGACTTACATATCTTTTGCGAAGCCATTTCCTAGAGTAGGGCGAAGTGAAGTAAAATTATAATATCAATTTATAAAATGTATTTCGGTTTAGACAAGACAATATAGGGTAATCGGTTTTGTTGGTTGATGCCGCATTCGACAATAATATAGCCATATGGCGGATGCCTGTAAATGATCAAGTTTGAACCAGACAATACAGTGATTGATATTATGAGTAACGATCCACGCCGCCAGGGTAACGATGACATTCAAACCACAATGTCACCAAGCCTGACCATCAGTTTTGTTCATTTATTATTTGCTTGCAGTGACAAGAGACAACACTAAGTCATTTGATCAGGGTTTTTAAAACGCCAACAGTCTATATTTGTTATTTGTTATTGTATGTTTAAAATATTTTGATTTTTTCCTCGATGCGCATGATGTCAATCACTGAAACGTCTGCTCCAGACTTTATTATTTACAGACCGCGATCATATAGCTGGAATATGCTGTGTGCGGCGTTAAACAGCAAACAATCAGTCAACTGAATGTTACCCAAAATACTTCAAAATTAAAGTAAAGGGCAAATAAACATGATTTCAACCTACTATTTCATCTGGTCGTTAGGTTCTGCGGAACTGAAAATGTCGCTAAAAGACAAAAGATTAATACATTTGTGCTTAAAGAAGTAAATAACTTGATGATCGCAAAGGTCATTTTGCGACACGAATATACTTGTTCCAAAATATTAATCTGATTGGAGATACCATTCATCAGTCTAGTAATCAAATAATAGAACTTAGAAATCCTTTCTGCTTCCTCCCCCCCCCCCCCCCCCCCCCCCCCCCCCCCCCTCCCCACGCAGCTTTCACGAAAACCTCAGATCTGTAAAATAATCAATGTCTTGGCGATCAGTAGGGGTCACAGTTGGCCCAGTGGTCGTAGTTCTTTGTGCAGAGGTTCGAACCTGCCAGGATCCGTTGGTCGATCGTCTGTGCAAAGCCGAAATTCATCCATATATGTGCCGACGATGTGACCAGAATACTATTTACTTCAACAACATGACCTGGGAAGAGGTAGACAAGTTGAAGTAGAAACATAATCATCCTCTCAACCTGTTTCTTGTTAAGTCATGTGTTCGTTCTCAGACAACAGCGGTCTCATGTGTATCAGTACAAGTAATAGATCATTTTATTTGATTTTGTAAAGAAAACCATATTTTTACAAGATAATATTAATTTCGAAATTATATTTCTTGTGTAGCATTTTGTTTTACTTCATGCTTATCAGGTACTGGAGAATAGCATCAGATCATCGGATTGGATTAAAAAAACAAGGACATGAATAACACATAAATGTCTCTTTGATCTGATTCAGGGAAATTTTAATGTAACTAACCATTTTAGCAGCAATATCAACATTTCATAACTGAAAAATATGTGTAAGACAGGATCATACAGTAGCATTTTGTAGGATGACTATGTTCAAAGTTTTAAATGAAATTGAGAACAGGACCTTAACGTATTTACCCCATGTGTACTTCACAGAAGAATTTCAATGTATTATGGATTGAATATTTCACCGGTCCATTTCAGAACGACGATTACAGTTACAACTCTTCGAGAGAACATTTTCAGAAAACATGGCCAAGGTTGTGCAAATATGCAAAATAAATAGAAAATGAATATGTCTGTCCAGTTTACTGGAATGTCATAGTGTCCACCACAGATAAGTCTTTATGCCATGGTGCATAGCGATCCCTCATTAGCGCGTCCAAACATGTCCGGAGGATTCCTATAGAATACAATGGCGTTGTTGTCCATCTGGTAATGTCATCTCTATTACCAAAGTCGCCTCTTCGCGGAATATCATGCCGGGAAAGCCCGAAGAGAGCCGATCTCCCGCTGAGACTATTTTCCTAAACAATAGTTGCGGACAGGACAAAATGTCGAGGGAAAATGCGTTCCCATTTCATACAGAGGGTATCATGAAATTGTGGAAATTAAGCGATGTCTGTTTCTGACAGGAGGGTTGGTCAGGGATTATATATAAAGCTCTCAGATTTTCGTTCATCCTCAAACGTTTCAACAAGCTTGAAGACTTTCTACCTGTTGCTCAAAGGTATGTGTATTTTGTGTCTAAATCACTTGTTGTCAGCTGTTCTATATCCACGTTTATGTTCTATTAATATTCATTATGATAGTACTTGAGAAGTCTGCTTTGAAGTCTTTTGTAAAGCTGCATTTAAACTAGCCGATTTGCATTCACTGAAATGCATTGTTGAACTTAACAGAAAATACAATCATTGAATGAGAAGCATTTAAGAAAAGCTTTACTTGAAAAATATTTCTTTTCAAATTCGTCTTTGACTATATGAGTTTCCATATTCATTTGCGGAAATTTCAGCCCAAACATAACAAAGTGGATCGTATCAGCTCGTAGTCTTCTAATTGGCACAAATTAAATATTTTCTGATTTTTAAAAGATTAACAAGTTTCTGCTGAAGCTTGAAACTGCCGGGCAAAAAAGGTATACACCAAAGTTTTATTTTGGCTTAAAATGAAACAAGAAAGAAATTGTTATTCGACTGTAATGTTTTTGGTAAGGGTATCACAGTTGCATTTTGGACCTCAAGTTGCAGTGTTTCGTGCAGCCTAGTAACGTTTGATCTCGTTTGTAATACCATGTTTTCAAGTGTATATTTTCTCTTTCTCGGCCGTTTAAATTGCGTACTTAGATATTTTTTCTAACAGGCACTAAATTTAACTTACGTTGAGTGTTTCTACTTTTGTGTTTTAAACATACAAAATGTAATTCATAGATGTACAGACATGATGAAAATAATTATTTGAAACATTTTACGTTACAATAACGGAAAAAAATCCTCAAAGGAAATAAACATTTCAAAGAAACATTTTCACATTGCAGAACACATCGAAACCTTCAAGATGCAAAAACTCGTCATAGCAGTGCTTTTAGTGTTTTCATTGGTTGTAATGGAAGTCACGTGTCAGGACGCCATGTTGGCTCCTCCCGACAGGCCATCTGAGTTCCGGTCACCTGACCAACTCCGTCAGTACTTGAAGGCTCTCAATGAGTATTATGCAATCGTTGGCCGCCCAAGGTAAGCTATTCCATGCAATGATTCATGTTTCTGTATGACATAATGATATTACCTGAAACCCGTCGGCACCAATATTTCGAATATATGTTTAATGCATAAGCAGTATTTTTTCACATTCATGACATCTTAGAAGTAATGTTGAGTAAGTAGTGTAATATAAAAAAAATAAATATAAGCGACAAAACTCTTTCCATATTCAAGAAAAATCTCTTACAAAAGGAGAGTCGATTGCACGATTCCGACTCTATCATGAGCATGTGTTTTTATGAATCTCTATCAAACAGTGATGATACCATGTGTTCGCGAAAAGGTGGGCGTGTCCTGCCCCACCTGTAGCACTCGTCACAAACACATGTGAATACATCAATACGATTTCGCACTGTACGCACTCAGCTCACTCACTCACTCACTCACGCACTCACGAACTCATGATATATGACTGAATTAGAACCGACTGATCCCACTCGCCTACTTGATACTGAATATCGAAATCCCAAAGTTTCTGAGCCACTGCTTGAACAAACATGAGATTTTAAATCTGTGGTTCTGCATGCAGATTCTATAATGAGTGGGGAATCGAACCCGTGTCTTCAGCGTAACGAGCTTTAACTACTAGTCTACCCAACCGCCTCCAGATGCTATAACATTCAGACCAAATGGTCAGCCGTGTTTGTTTGCGAAAAGAAAACAAGTATTTAAAGCTCACGTAAAATCCCAATGAAGATGTCACTTTGCTCTCTTACCAAACGTGGCCACTGACATGAGTACGTGAGTGAGTGTGGTTTTACTCTGCGTTTAGGAATGTTCCAGCAGTATTACAGTGGGGGACACCGGTTAGGGCTTCACTCAGAATGCTCATGTGGGGAATCGAATCTGTTGAACAACCGTTCCCACCCAATACGATACAAGATATTATTATACATATGGTTTTACATGTGCAAATCCATACGAGGCACATGAATAATAATTATTTCATGCGCTCTGCAACATTGTTAACTTAATTCAAATACCATTGTTGTAGTAAAGCAGACGTCGATGTTAACGTAATGTTCATGACGTTACGCTAGTGATGACGTCAAATTGTTTCATTGCTGACGTCATTTCGACCATGTTAGCTTGTTGGCGCGTATTTCAGTATAGAAGACTCCACTTCTTTTCCCGAGAGTTAATTACCAGTTATGGATCATAAAGAAATTGTTTCATTTCTATGTTTATCAATTGAAAGCAGGAGGCCCTAGGGAATACAATTCAAGTCAGTTTATTGTATTCCAGACCTTTGGTCAATAGACAATGACATATATTAATGACTTGGGCAGTAGAGGTACATAAGACAATATCACCAGACTTATCGATAACTGATATAAAGTGACAGATGTTCATTCAAAACATGACAAGATTTCTACAAGGTGAAAGGCTTCAGTCCAAGAGAATACAAGATGAAAATAGAACAATTATCTATATATTTCTTGATGCATAATTTGCTCTAATCTAAAGGGCACGTTTGCATGTGTATTACATATAACCAATATTTCATACATTTAACAACTGGCTTGTTGATTATTGGGTATCTACCACATAGGTGAGAAAAGCTTTTAACTTCATGTCGAATATCTTAAACGGTGACCTTTTGTCCTTGATCAATACATTCGCCTACTTTCGCAAAAGGGCCAATAAGACTGTTCTAATCGTGCCATTAAATGATATAATCTAAACTATGAACTCGCAGGATTGTTTTACAAGCGAAAGAGTATGTTTCTAGTTTCCAGTCATTATTGGGGATCACATTCGAAAATAATGCCCTAAGAATCATTCAAAATCTTCCCGGACCATTTGGTCCGTCCTTTAAAATGTCACGATGTACATTGTAATAGGAAGCTTCATGGGGCTAGCTATTGGAGTGGTCATTAACGAATGGAGTATTTTCAGTTGCACTTACATGGAGCTGGCTTTCGGTTAAGATTGTCCTAACCTTTTGGCTTGACAATGGCTTTGTAGCATGATATGATTGTGTTTTCACAATGATCACAAATCCATCGTGTTATTCAAGTTCTATTTCTACACGCTATGTGCAGCTATATTAAGATCATGTTTTAACGGATTCTGGGACCAACTGTTCACCGGGATAAATTGACCAAGGCCAAGTAACAAGCTTCCAGAAAGGTTTCCTCTTCTTAGTATTTGGGGCCACCGAGAATCGTTTTGATCCAGAAAGACATTTCAAATGATTGCTATTTTAAGGGTCTTTACCCTCGGTGGCGGTTGGGTAGCTTCGTGGTTAAAGCCGTCGCTAGTCATGGTGAAGGCCTAGGTTCGGTTCCCCACGTCTAGTCCCCAATGATATTGGTGGAATATTGCTAAAAGCGGCGTAAAACCATAATCATTCACCCCCTACCCCCTGGGGAGTCCGGGTTACAATAGGTCCGAACAACCTAGTATGCTGGTCGTAATAGATCGTAATAGAGTCGGGAGACAACAAAAATGGGCTTCGCACATTGTAACCATGTAGGGAATCGAACCGGGTCTTCGGTGTGACGAGCGAACGCTTTAACCACTAGGCTACCCCTTCGCCACGGTTCATCTTAAGTATTTAGTACAACCAAGGGGGTCAAGTATTTTGTGTGACCATATGACAGAGACAGGATTAAATATAGCTAGTTGACAATGACTTTTATTTATATTTGTTCGTGTTGCATTAGTTTTTATTTGTAAAGAAACAGTTCCGTCACTACGAAATCATTTCTTTCCAGGTTCGGTAGAAGTGTGAACAAGAGATCTGTCAACGATGCAGTTTTCGGAGAGGCTACAAAAACAGGTAGGTTAAAGCCATGGTACACACTGTATGAAGTGAAACCTCGAAATCTAGCTTGAGCTTCATTGTTGTGATGGTAAGATATGTTATATTGCTTAAAGGGACTCTTGAGTAGTCTCATGGTTGTTGCCAAATACACACGCGCACGTATTGCGTATTTGTAAACGGTGACTCCGAATAAGGGGAAGCCTGAAAAAACCCATCTTCCTGAGGCAAGAGAGTTAACCGACTACAAAAGTCCAGTTTCCACCCTTGCCGAACTCGGCTGGAATTTCTGGGTTCGATCGTAGCGCCACCAGTGGCTATTACGAGTTATGTCCCTTCTATGCCTCTCCTATGGACCAATCAGATTCCACCTCTCGTGTCACTTGCATTTGCTTCAAACAAAATGGCGGCGCCCAGTCAAGAAGATCTGGTCGATAATCAAGATCTATATTGTGATAAAACGGGTCTTACATACTGCTGTGCATCAAATCACGTGAGCACATTGATTAAAAACATGAAAAGATTAGGAAAGTATCTGTTGACAACGAGTTGGCGGTGAATATGCTTTGCAAATCCTGCAATCGGCTGAAATCTGCACGATGGATTTCGATTTCGTTGCGCGATTTTGATTGGACTATGCATAGACTCGTTAGTCCAGCCAAAATGTACCAGCCTAGTTCGGCAAGGTCGGAAATTGGACTTTTAAAAGTCAGGTAACTGACTTGCCTCGGGAAGATGGAAATAGTCATGCTGTAGATTTTAACTAAATGGTCATAACATGCTTAGGTCTAACATATCTATATGTCGCAACTGGCATGTCTTGATGTTGATATCATGCCTTCATTTCACCCCTGGGCGGGGATAATCATCAACTACATATCATCTATCGAACGATATGAAACTTGAACGGGGATTTAAGAAGCAACCAAGAGATAAATATTTTAATGAGAGAATATCTTTTCCGTAAATTGAACGATTTTAATTCGCTCTCGGCGCATAACACTATCCGTCTACGTGAGTATATCAAACAGTTTATGTGCAGGTTCTACCAAATGCAAAACAAGAAATAAATATGTTGTAAGTAATCCCTAATGTGATGTTTTGTGAGCAATGTAATTTGAAATACACTGAGGGGCAAAGGAAAGTATACCTAGTTTGTGTTTTATGAAATTATGCAAAACAAGAAATCAAAATGTTTTAAGGTATCACTAATACCTGATTGTATTTTGTTGTTTAATAAGCCACTTGTACCACCAGAAGTCGTTATTATGTTATATATTGATAAATTCATAAGATCTTTTGTAAAAAGTGTGTTAGCAAAATCAACAGGATGTTTCTATTTGTTTGTTAACATAATTTCGATGTACTTACTTACATTCGTAGTCTCTTCAGATTTAAAACAAACTTACGTGAACTTTAATGACAGGTTGGCAGACGCAATCATTTTGCTAACACTCAAGTAGTTTGAGTATGGTTACTAAATCGTCCCATAGTCTTCCTTGAAAGGTTCCCCTCCCATAGTTAAACAAGAGCGGTCAACCTCCCATATTTTGCATAGCATAGTGAATATCACTTGAAGATTAGTTTGAGGCATTAACTTGAGCGAACTTTGTTTTAAGTAGGAGAAAGTCCTCAATCTCGCGATTATTTTCGCACATTCGGACATTCTCTTATACATACATGTAAGCTGTAACTGCATTTAGTGCTACGAGAACCATGACTATAAGATTACCATAAACCGATATGACACTATAGTCGTTCCATAAGTTTAAGTGTTAAAGCATCTATAAACCGAGTTGATACTGTTGTGTTACAATGTATAAGTTCTAAGACTACCATAAACCGGTTTGACACTTTAGTAGTTTCAAAAGTATAAGTGCTAAGACTACCACAAACCGGTTTGACACTTTAGTAGTTACAATAGTATAAGTGATACGATGTTAATAGCTCGAATGAGGCCACAAAGTTCTTACGTTGGTATTGAGGACATTCAACATTAATTAAATAATAATTGACCAGTCGTCACTTACATCAATGAGTGAGTGAGTATGTTTTAAGCAACATGCCAGTTATATCTGGGCGGGGGACACCAGAAATAGGTTTCACAACTAATATTAATGAACGTTCTATGTACATGATGTCTGATATAATGTTTTCTTCTGTTAACAGAGTAGACAATGGCGACGATGAAGACACAGAGTACTGGCAATTAGATTTCTAACCTTCATCAGCACCCAAAACTGATCACGTCAACATCTCATTGGTTAGAGAATGCTGCGCCATTATGATGACAGAGCGTATTGCGTCATCATGACGACAGAGCGTATTACGTCATCATGACGACAGAGGTTGACGAAAGTACAGTGTCATAACTCTTTCTCCATGACGACGTGAAATAAGACTCCTCTGTTGAAACATATGCTGTGCGTGTTTTTCATATTGTTGAAACAATGATCCAATAAAAGGTCGGGAAATTTAACCGTGTTGATTTGTTTATATCAGGTGTCTTTTTAATATCTGAAGATATTTAGTTTCTATCTACGTCTTTATGAGAAACGTGATTGTACAATCGATAGACTCTGTTCTGTAAGACTCTTCCGAACTACGAGTAGGGAAAGGTTAATTGTCTTTCCTTGTACACCGTGGAGATAATTAAGCACTTCTAACTAAACTGATGGGCAAAAGAAAGTATAAACCATATTTTTATGACACAAACAAGAAATGGTTATTTGATGGCAATGTATTTGATACGGGTATCATGGTTGTGTTTTGGACCTTAAGCAGTGTCTCGGCGAATGTTTTCATCCCAATAACGTTTTAATAAGTTTTAGTATTTTTTGGCCAAATCCAATTTTCAAGTGTAAACTTTCGTTTTCCTGGCATTATATATGTTTAGATATTAGTCATTTTAAAATATCGTATGCTGATGAAACACATACTTATATTGAAATTCCGAAACCGAAATCAATCATCATTCACTTTAGGCTTAAGAAAGTTGATCGTTCTGAATGCGGGGCGGTGGGGTAGCCTAGTGGTTAAAGCATTTGCCCGTGGCGCCGAAGACCCGGGTTCGTTTTCCCATATGGGTACAATGCGTGAAGGTTTTTTCTCGTCTTCCTCGTCGTGCTATTGCCCAAATATTGCTGAAAACGGCGTAAGACCATACTCACTCACTTTCTAAATGTCTACCCAAAGAGGGTATTTTTGGGATGTTTCTCATTCATATGAAGGAGAACAGGATGTCGTGTTCAGCAGAGCATTATTTATTTGAGTTTCATTCAAATGGTAATATTTGATTTGGGCACCTGTAAGTTTGTCGATTGGGCAGGATGTCGGATTAATAAGATACCAGTTTAGACAGAAGTCACTGTCCTGTTAACGTTGTAGCAGGATGTGACACGGATTCTGTTGAATTTTGCACCGATATGACATTGACCACCTTTCACTTTATATAAAACACTAGATATTTGAACAGTGAAACCCTGTTAGTCAGGACACTGAGAATCCGGGAGTGGGGAATATACGCCATACTCATAATTCGTTAACATTTGAAATTCCGAACGACTGCACACGAGGATTTCCCGTGTTTATTCAGATGAACGAATGACCTAATTTTGCATCCGTTGTGATGGTTGCCACCGATAGGGCAGGATACGCTCACCTGTTATGGTCACTGTTTGATAGTTATTCATAAACATTACCTTCTGATAAAGTTGGTATCGTACAATGCACTCTCCTTTTAGCAGAAATTTCTGATAAATATGGAAATTTATTCACTGAAAACTCGAAATATCAGATGAACATCCACGACTCCGACTTCTTTTAAGACGAATGTTCTTTGGAACACCAAAATTTAGAAAAACAAAGACGAGGAGAGTTATTTATCGTACAATAAAACACTACAGGGAGATAAACATCGAGGGTGCAGCTCCGTGTGGTTTATCTTCCCAGCAGTGTTTTATTGTACGATAAACAACGGCCACGAATCGTTTATTTCGTATATGAGATTAATTAACGTCTCTGTAAGGATGTTAATAACATTTACAAGCCTTAAATATATCTAGCCGCATTTACAATTCCATTTTATGAAGATTAACATTAGCTGCGCATTAAACAGTGTTTCAGTTACATAACGGTGTGAGGCTGGAGAAAACTGAGCCTCAAGACGTTTACATCCCACGAACACAGTACGGTGCTGACCAACTAGGATCTGGGCTATCGAACCACCAGTAATGAGTGAGGTGGATGGGATAATCAAGATTATTGTACTAATAGAGCCACGTACACATGTGTGTGTGTGTGTGTGTGTGTGTGTGTGTGTGTGCGTGCGTTTGTGTTTGAGTGTGCGTGACTCCAACTAATACTGGTTTTGCCAAACTAACGCTGTTTTGCCGTTTACTGCAAAGTGTAATCTGTTGGAGTGAGAGAGTGAATATGGGTTTAGCAATATTCCAGCAATATCTCGGCGGGGGACACCAGAAATGGGTTTCATACATTGTTCAGAAGTAGGGAATCGAACCCGGGTCTTTTGCGTGACGAGCGAACGCTTTAACCACTAGGCTACCCAACCGCCCCTAATCTGTTGGATAATCAAGGATGGTTAATCTCTTGCATTGATATTTATTATTATAGTGCTATTCACTGAAATACCATGTCACAGGTTAACATGGATACCCACTCTAACTCAGACCCCGAGCCTAAATCATGTCCTTAATCCCGAGCGCCAGGCAGGGTGAAAACAAGTACCATCTTTTAACACCTTCTGGTGTGACGCGGCCGGAGCTCGGACCATTGACTAGGGCTGAAACGATATCCCGGGACACCGATGCACCACGATTCACTCCATACGATACGGTGTGCGATTTGTGAGGTGCTGTATCTCGATTTTTCACGATACGTTTTTTTCAAAGTCGTATATACGTACGTCTTTGTTTTTGTCCATAAACTTTTATCACAGATACTTTTTAAATGTGTTTAAACTCTTTCAACACCGTAGGAACCGAGTCCCCAGGCACCGGCCAAGCCTTAGTCACGTCAAAATTGTATATTATATATATTTATGGACCTACCTGTCATACCATTCATTTATTAAATCTATCACATCTCACAATGTCTGAAATACGAATTCTATTTCAATTTATCATTATTTATCGATAGATTAAAAAGTTATTCACTATTTCCCGCAATGTTATTGAAAATATAATTCTCGGACGCACACTTCGACAACGGGTGCACATCGAACATGTCAAAGAGCAAAACAAAGACGTTTCAAGCAAATCTTTAAATATATTATACAAAGTGATAAATAAAATCAACAAAAATATATCTAAAAGTGGTCAAACTTACAGCTAAGTTATTATTTCCATCTTTTCGTGCGATCGCGTGTAATGTTAGTCAAATGACATCTCTGCTTTCGTCGCCTCGAATTCTCGGCTCGGACACGATGTTCAATGCCAAAATATATGCATGAAAAATCTTTGTCACAGCTTGTAACCTAGTATGATACATCCACGAAGCTCCATATTTTTAATATAGATCGCGATTTCCTGCTTAAAACGTCCAGAATAACACTATTTAACCAAAATATTTCGTAAAAATCTGAAATTCATCGTACACGAGGATTTGTAATTTGATTGCCTGCCTCAGGTCACGAGCTCAAATTTGACCAATCATGAACCTTGTAGCAGACTTCGGCAAGAAAGCGTCATTAGGAACCATTTTTTATCCAATGAAATCTTATGTTATACCTGCGAAAAGACTCCAGGCAATGTTACGAGCGTGTAGATGAAACAACAAGCTTTCTAACGATGTGTCATATGTCAGTCTTCGACGAACGTGTTATTCATACGAAGCTTTCGAAAACGGAGGTATTTCTTCGTGTTACTTAGCGGACAGCCGCTGTTATCTGGAAATGGGTGAAATCAGATACTATTCATTATTCTTTTTAAAATAATTTTCCAATAACGTAAATGAAAAGAAAAAAGAAAAAAGTAGATCTAGATCTTTTGAAATCTTATATTTGCCCCAAATCGTCAAATTTTCGCTTCCTTGGTCCTTAATCTGGATGTTATGAATGTGTTAGCTTACATTTTGTATATTTACAACGAACTTAATTAAGTTGTCAAGTTGTAAATTATGTTATAAACATAACTTTCATATTTATAAACACCAGGATTAGACCTTTCAAATGGTGTATAACATGGCTGTTGCTACAATTGTTTTTAATTGTTTTTTTGCCTTTATACATGAAAATGGCAAATCATTAGTTACTGGACACTGGTACATTTAGTATTTACTCCTAGAATCTACCATCTGGTCACAACTAACAAATATGTAGGACTGTTACTTTTGTGTTTGCTAGCCATTACATGGAAATGGCAGATGATTCATTAAGTTAAAATACTCATTACAGTTTATATTTTATGACTCATGAACATTCATTCACTTTCATTCTATTTTTCATTTTAATAAACTAAGTTTAATTTATTTATCTCTTTTCTTCTCTTGTCACTATGTGTATCGTAGCGTATCGAGATACGTATCGAATTTTAATTCGCTCTCGGCGCATAACACTATCCGTCTACGTGAGTATATCAAACAGTTTATGTGCAGGTTCTACCAAATGCAAAACAAGAAATAAATATGTTGTAAGTAATCCCTAATGTGATGTTTTGTGAGCAATGTAATTTGAAATACACTGAGGGGCAAAGGAAAGTATACCTAGTTTGTGTTTTATGAAATTATGCAAAACAAGAAATCAAAATGTTTTAAGGTATCACTAATACCTGATTGTATTTTGTTGTTTAATAAGCCACTTGTACCACCAGAAGTCGTTATTATGTTATATATTGATAAATTCATAAGATCTTTTGTAAAAAGTGTGTTAGCAAAATCAACAGGATGTTTCTATTTGTTTGTTAACATAATTTCGATGTACTTACTTACATTCGTAGTCTCTTCAGATTTAAAACAAACTTACGTGAACTTTAATGACAGGTTGGCAGACGCAATCATTTTGCTAACACTCAAGTAGTTTGAGTATGGTTACTAAATCGTCCCATAGTCTTCCTTGAAAGGTTCCCCTCCCATAGTTAAACAAGAGCGGTCAACCTCCCATATTTTGCATAGCATAGTGAATATCACTTGAAGATTAGTTTGAGGCATTAACTTGAGCGAACTTTGTTTTAAGTAGGAGAAAGTCCTCAATCTCGCGATTATTTTCGCACATTCGGACATTCTCTTATACATACATGTAAGCTGTAACTGCATTTAGTGCTACGAGAACCATGACTATAAGATTACCATAAACCGATATGACACTATAGTCGTTCCATAAGTTTAAGTGTTAAAGCATCTATAAACCGAGTTGATACTGTTGTGTTACAATGTATAAGTTCTAAGACTACCATAAACCGGTTTGACACTTTAGTAGTTTCAAAAGTATAAGTGCTAAGACTACCACAAACCGGTTTGACACTT